GACCCAGTTGGTTAGAGTGTTCTGGAAGCTAATGTCCACATATTGAGGTGGGGGACGGACACTTAACCTAGGTCATAATTAGCTTGGAGCTAAAATCCTCCAAGACTGCCAGTTATTTTTATTTATTGAGGGACTCCTATGTTAAACTGTGCAATCAGAAACTTTTTAATTCCTGATAATATTTGGGCTTGTACAATGAGCCAGAACGCACAGTTGTAGTTGATTGATTGGAGAATATGGCTCCTGTGTGAGGCAATCTGCGCTATGATTGGTTGCTGTGGGTATAGAGGGGGAGTTTCCCTTTTTCCCCGCCTTTTTCTTCTGGGTGCTCTGTGATTTACCTCATGATGCTCCTGTCTGCCTGACTATCTTGTCTGCTGTAAAAATATGGACGTAAAAAATATTTACAGGTAGTCCTCGACTTTAAAAAGTTCATTTAGTGACCGTTCAGTGACAACAGCACTTGAAAAAGTGACTTATGACCATTTTTCACACTTATGACCATTTTTCACACTTATGACCATTTTTCACACTTATGACCATTTTTCACACTTATGACTATCTAGTCATGTGATTTACACTCAGATACTTGACAACTGCTTCATATTTATGGCGGTTGCAGTGTCCTGGGTCATGTGATCACATTTTGTGACCTTCTGACAAGCAAAACCAATGGGAAATCCCAGATTCACTTAACAGTGGTGCTGCTCATTGAACAACTGCAGTGATTCACTTAACCAATGTGGGAAGAAAGGTCGTAAAATGGAGCAAAAGGCAATACATTTTCTTACTTAGCAGCATAAATTTTAGGGTCAGTTGTGGTCGTAAGTTGAGGACTGCCTGTATTTATGTAAAACATCAAGTTCGTGTCAGCGTCTCTGATTTCATTTGGACATCCACTGCGCAATTCCCTGACATACTTTCCTATGGCCATCTCTTCCTTGCAGCCGTTCTGCTAGGCTTATTGTGAACATTGCTATATCTGTCCTGCTGAAAGGATTGCAGGGATACATTTCTAAATTTCTGTCCTGACTATACCACTGGTTGACCCATCAAAAATGCATTGGGATGCATTGTTCCAATTCTGATTCTGCATATAGTGGAGTTTTCCACCATTTAGGCCAATGAACGGAATACCGAAACCTAGCTCTTTAAAGATAGGCAAGCTACATATAACAAGTAAATATTAAAAGGCAACACTCACAATCATAAAAACAAAGCAAATATTTATCAGGAGGTTCGCAACTGATGTGACGTTTTGTCCTGTCGCAACAGCCAGAGCGAGAGAACTAGAGGCATATGCAATTAATATAATAGTAAGCATCATGATAAAGAAAGATGCCAAAACTGGCTTGAAACCTGCAAGGAATTAACATATACACATATACATATGTTGGATGCATACAAATGTACATACATGCTTAGTAACAACCTTAACCGAGATTTAAACAAGCAGTCCTCGAATTACAACTATTGATTTAGTCGCTGTTCAAAGTTATAACGGCAGAAAAAGTTATTTCTGACCATTTTTTACACTTAATGACCATTGCAGCATTCTCATGCTCATGTGATCAAAACCGTGGTGTTTTGAGTGCTTGCCAATTATTATGTATTTATGACAGTTAAATGTCCTGCTTTTGCAACCTTTTGGCAAGCAAACTCAATGTGGAAGATTCACTTACTAACCAAGCTACTAACTTATCAACTGCTGTGGCTTACCTAACAACTGTGGTAAGAAAGGTGGTAAAATGGGACAAAATAACTGTCCAGCAGAAATTTTGGGCTCAGTTGTGGTCATAAGTCGAGGACTACCTGTACTTCTGCATGTCCACTCAGAAGGAAGCATCCCTAAATGCAATCGGTGCTTACTGCCATGTCATATATCAGAATTTGTTTTTATTTGCTAAGATTCTCCTGCTTGTACTTTGTGTTGACAAGTCAGTTGAAAATAATTTTATTAAGGCTTTCATATCTAAGTTGCAAAACATTTCAGACAATCCTAAAAGGGCAGAAACAGTTGGCGTTTGCTATATTCCTCTGAAACCTCTTAGTGGACGGATTTTTGCAGCCCAGAAATAATAGCCCAACTTTATAATTGTCCCATAAGTCTTAAAAGCTTAGCAATCCCTGTAAGACTCATTTATCACAATCAAGCAGTTTGCAAGTGGGATATCCAATTTATTTTGTGTATTGCTAGGCCCTTGCAGAAAAGTTTCTACCCAGCCATGTCCTTCCTTCCAGGATGGCATGAACTGTAAGGCAGTATTCCTTAAACCTTTGGGCACCAGCGACCAGTTTCGTGGACAATTTTCCATGGACCGAGAGGGGTGATAGTTTCATGAGCTATCTAGATCTCATACGGTGTGCAGATGAAGCTTTGCTCACCTGCACGGCCCAGTTCCTAACAGGCTGTGGAGTGGTAGGAGTCTGCAGCCTGGGAATTAAGGACTCCTGCTGTAAGGGATAGAAATAAACTATTTGATGTTGCATTTTCCCCTTTACATTGGAGAATTTCTGTCATTCCCAAAACTAGTGAATTTGCTTAGCAATCACAAACAGTTGGGTTTGGAATTTTGGGGGACGGGATTACTGTCTTTTTAAACTTTTTGTATTGCTTGGCCATGCATGAGCACTTCTTCCATTTATTCTTGTTCTTATATTTTTATCCCACCATTTTTATAATACAACCTAAGATGGCAATACCTTATATTCCTGCCTTCCATTTTCCCCACACCAACAACTCTGATTTTCTGATTTCTAGGCCAGCATCCCACTACACCAAGTGGCTCTCAGTGCCAAGCTCTAAACCAATTTCAGCCTCCTTATACTTCCCCTGAGAGAATAAATTATCCAATTGCTCAGTTGTTTGCATATAACAGCGATTATAACTAAAGAGAGCCAACTTGGGCTAGTGTTTAAGGCATCAGGATAGAAACTGGACTGTGAGTTCTAGTCTAGCCTTAGTCATGGAAAGCACCCTGGGTGATTTTGGATTAGTTCCTTTCTATCTGGAAAAAAAAATAGGAGGAGGAAGGAATATTAGGTAAGTTTGCTGTCTTGAGGTATTTAAAAAGTAACAAAGGCAGAAGTTTAAAACTCTAATAAATAAAACAGAAAGCAAACAATATCTCTCATTTCTCTGTACCACAAAAAAGGGTGCAGAACTGAGTTCACTTGCCTATTGTGAAATAATTCAAGCTGGTGAGGATGATGCCTGGCAAAGTCCTCATTGGCATCATGTCAGCTATTATTTTTGAGAAGAAATATGCAGATACTCTATAATAGCCACTTATATATTCATGTCTGCAAGAAAAAAGATACTTGTACACATATATACATACACAAAACCAGAATAATCAAATAAATGCATATAGCGGATTTCAGATCGGGGCCCTAGACCCATGTAGGAATTTAGTGGATTTTCTTCAGTTAACTTAAATGTTCAGTTAAATATGAAATAGTCTTTTTAGCTACATTTCGTATTCGCTATTTGCATCTATTCACCATCCTGGGTGAAGTGAGTGATACCATGGGTGTTCTTTTTTGGTGCCTGGAGGCTGTGGGGACCTGGATGGGGAACAACATACTTCAGCAGAACTCTGGTTGGATGGAGTAGCTGTGGGTGGGCCCTTCTGCATCGAGGAGTTTATCATCTTTGGTCTTGGGTGGGGTTGCACTACTCCAGACACACCCAGGGAGTAATTTGGAGGTCCTCCAGGACTCACGGCTCCTGCTTGAACAGCAGGTGGCAGCCTTGTCTCGGATGGGCTTTGCTCAACTTCATATTGTGTGCCAGTTATATACCCTTTCCTGCATAGGGAGGGTCTCCGCTCGGTTACTTGTGCCCTGTTCATCTCCCATTTGGTCTATTGCAATATGCTGTATGCATAGAGCTACCATTGAAAAGTTTTTGGAAACTTCAGCTTGTACAGAATGCGGCCATCTTGGGCACCCAAAGAATGGCACGTGTAACACCTATGCTGCACAAGCTGCATTGGGTGCTAGTTTGCTTCTGAGTCCAAATCAAGGTATTGGATATGAAATCAAGGTATTGGACCCAGACTATGGGGGCGATATGCTGACTCTGTAAACCGCTTAGAGAGGGCTGAAAGCCCTATGAAGCGGTATATAAGTCTAACTGCTATTGCTTTTAAAGTCATAAATAACAGCTGCCCAAAGCAGAGGTGGAAAAAGTTCATCACTGAATGGAATTTTTTAAAAAAAACATTAGACTCTGAAGACTCATACCATCATACCTGAGACAGAGAGGGATGTTCAGTCTTGGAATACTTAAGGTAAGAATCTTCATTATTGTTTTGGACTGAAGGTAACTGTCAATGCTCAAAAAGATTCTAGCTGAAGCCATATTCTTTTTTGCTTTGTTTCTTAGTTGCCATATTTAGTGGGGAAGGGGGACTTGTGGAATGTAGAATGTTTTCCTCCAATGTGCCAGACATAACAGCAATAAGGCAGGAGGGAGTGCTGAGAAATTCATCACCTGCTTGGTTGGCTAATATGACCTGCGACACAAGGGTGTGGCCAGTATCTATTCTTTAATTATACCAAAAACTATTCATTATTCAGAATTATTCAGTGCTGGTTTCACATTTGACTGTGCCGATATGATGTACCCAATAAACAGGATTTTTGTAGGAAGCCAAGGAGTCTTGAATTGTTTGGGAGCATTACTCGGAACCATAAAAGTAACAAAGTCAAAAAGACATTGAAATACAATCTTCCAGTTCTCATGAATTGAGGGGTTTAGGATAACTTGCTGCGGGACTCCTCACCCCGGCCAACTCTCTGTGGGGATAACTCAACATGAGACTGGGCCTTCCGCTTGGGGGAGGGGGGGATACTGACTACAGTTTGTTGCAAACAATAGGCCAAAAGAACATGCATGGGCACTGTGAATGAAACCAACAAATGATTAACCAAAGAGTAAACAAATGCAATTATTAACTATAAGGAAAAAAAACTGTGATGTTCCATTACATGCAGATTTACCTACATAAATATCCTTTTTTCTGTGATAAAAAGTTCAACGGTTGTAATACTGTTCAAAACCTGATTCGTTGCCAAAAAGAACAAAGCACCAATTCTACAAGAAAACCCAAGAATGTTAAAATTAGAAAGGGAGAACATATGGACCACAAATATGAAGCACTAATGACACAGAGCATGATAGGATCACAATATAAGAAAATCAAGAGTGCTTCCAAATGAGGAAAACGTTACATGGGGTACATACAGAATGAATATAAGTTGTAATTTACCCAATGACTACTAGATGGTAGCAAAGAAGTAGAGAAAGCTTAAGACTTTGCTTCTGTCTAGTGGTCATCTGGAACCCAAATATAGTGGCTGGTTGCTGCATGATACAACACAGCAACCAGGAAGTCCTATCTCTCCTGCTGAAATACAGATATAATAAGGGCATAGCCACTCTGTACACAGTGGGTTTTGCCAATCAAAAATAGATGCACTTTTAACTATACTGGAAACCAGAAGCATCAAGGGCTTGGTTACTAGAAAAGGCATGCAATATAAGCCCATAAAAGAGTATAAGACATCAATAGAAGTGAATATTTGTAGCTCAGGGTTGAACTTTGGGGTTTTTAGTGAACTGATGATATTACCTAGTTTGGTAATGAAACATCTGCAAGAAAATAACCAAGCTCAGAGACCCCATAGCATCTTAAAATTTCCAAAAGAAAAATAGTTTCTATTGCCCAATCACACCCAACATTTTGATGTTTTTGATCTCCCTTGGGACATTCCCAATGGAAATTGCCTAATTTTCCTCAAAGCAAAACAAAACAAAAACAAAACACAATACTTTGATCAAATAATCGAAACTGATGTGAAGTTATTTATCTAATTTCCTAGGAAATTACTCTTCCCTACTCTACAGGCAAAGCAGCAAGCTAATAAAACAATATTGGAGATTGTGATGCTAACATTTTTTTTTGTTCTAGACCCTGCTAATCTCAAAAGTTAAACTATTAATTGAGAAAGGTGCATTTGGTTTAGAAAAATGTTTCTTACATTAACTAACCTATTTTGAATGCCAGTTGCATCGTTTTTAACGCCAGAAAAAACAGCTCCAGTAATTATTCCCATGACTGTGATAATAGCTATCTAGGAAGAAAGGGTACTTCAAATTATCAATGTTAGAATGAAACAGGGATGAAATGTTTTGACAAATTAAGGAGCTTATAAAATATAGCTGTTTTCTGTAGTTCTACAGTTTACATGATATGACAAATATTCCATTCCAATGCCTAGGAAAGGATAGGGAGAATAGGGATGGGAAACACCTGCTTTTACAACTAGGAGGGTGATCTAAACTGCAAAAATCTAGTCAACCGCTAAATGGAATCAAATAGTTAAAGAAACCTCCCATTTTTGTACCCATATCTGGTAGTCTTGGCTTGGGAGGTATGTATCTTACATTGTACTAACCAATGGTACCTATCTCTTAGGCATATTCCGTTGACTAAGAGACAGTTAATTGGATTCCTATAACCCACTATTCCACAATCAAAGCCTATTTTGCATATATGTAAATCCAACCTTATCCAAGTTTTGAAAACATACTAAGTGGTGGGTAGGGTTGGGTTAAGTTAGGTTGAGTTGAGTTGAGTTGATTTTGGCCTAACCAGCAAATCATTTGATGTAGAATCTTTAGTTTCCGTAATTTAATTAGTTGAGAATTCCTGTCTGGGAACTCTATGGACTTCCAAAGTCACTGTACAGCAGGAGTTTAGGGTGGAGGGCATTAAAAATAAAGTAAACTATGCTTGAATGTGTTAACCAAGTAATTCTAATGACTACGCAGAATTACTATTTGGTTAATGGGGATTACTGTTACATAAATATGCCTAGGATTGTGGCACCAATTATCATAATCAAGCTGACGGATATCTAAGATTTTTATTTTGAAGAATAAGCACATATAATTAAAATCTCAGCTAAGGTGATGGTAACAGGCTGCTCCGAAGTGTTGAACAGGAAGGATTGCCTCAATCAAAATGACAGGAAGCTCTTAAACGTGGTTCTAGGCTCAAGAGAGCTGCGGAAAGATCCAAAGGCCGGCACTTATTCTACCATTAAACAATTGGAGTGGGAAACAAGGATCATAGCTAGACCCATTTAAGAGGATTAACAAAAGGGATTAATTCCATGAAATGTAAGGGCTTTTAGAAGAATGCCTTCAAAAATCCATCTATAATGAGGTTAGGGAGATAGAAATGATTGTGAGAAAAAAGTCAGAGCTCTTAGCTGAGGGGGAAATTGTAAGCTCCTAAAATCATAATTCCTGTCACAAGGTCAAATTTTTACAAAGCAATTTATAAGATCCCCATAAGACTAGCACACACATAACAAAACTTTTTAACTTCATGGCCTCTCTGTGCAGAAAATTTAATAATTACTATTATTACATTAGCTATGATGTATTAATGCTCGAAGGTGGTTTCATTATCCGGAAGATGACTAGAGAAGGAAGATATGGCTTGATTTTACTTTGCAACTTCATTCCCAGACTTCTTCAGCATTTATGATTACTCTAGTTGGGTAATGAAATGTTCTGCAAGAGAACAACCAAGCCCAGAGTGCACTAAGGATTTTAAAGACTCCATTTATAAATAGGCCTAAATGCAATAATTCTAGATCTGCCACTGATTAGCTATATCAAAAAAACACTTAAACATATACAGGTTATTTCATAATATATATCAAACATGTACAGGTTAATACTTAATATATCAAGCAGGAGGAGGAGGCCACTTTGTTTACCTGGGCTGTGGAATTTTGTGGATTGCCTATCAAATTTTTAAATGTGCGCCTGGATAACCACTTGAGTTGATGAAGAAAAGGAGTGGAATATGGAATTCCTTTGATTATTGTTCCTAATCTTTTCTGCTCCTTAGACAGTACATCCAGTTCTTCAAGCATTTTTTTGTAGAAACTGCATTTAGAAAACTGTACTGCTAATGTTACAGCAATGGTCTCCTGTTCCCTTTCAGTTGCCTCCAGAACTGTTCGAGAGACAACAAAAAGCCAAATTAATGCATTCAAATAAAACGAGAGAAACATACAGGTCAGTTGATCCACAGTTTATGTTCTAGGTCATATCTGTCTTTTGCAAACAGCCACTTTTCCACCGGTGAGCAGCCGCTGATCTCTACCATGATTCCAGATTCATGTGATTTTGCAGTTTTTCACTGCTTTTCAAAGCAGTTTGAGAAAAATAATCTTAATAATAATCTTAAAACAGCCTATGAAGGAAGGCAGAAAAAGACAAGTGTGTTTTCAGATACGTTTTCTTCAGTATCCAAATCATTAGCTCCTCAGAGTGGAATTACAAATACGTCTGTGTGTATGTGCAGTGTGTTTATGTTGGTATGTATAACAGTGGTGAGATTCAGCCAGTTTGCACCTATTCGGGAGAACCGGTTGTTAACTTTCTAAGTATTTGGGAGAATCGGTTGTTGGAAGAAATCTCATTTTGTTTTTTTTCACTTTACAGGGCTAATCCTGTAAGGAAGGCAGGAAGGAAACATTCTGGTGTTGTTTCTAGCCTAATCTTGATTGCTCTGCTTAGAGAAACTGCCTCTCCAGTTAACCCTTGTTACCATTGTAACAACTAAGGCGAAGTGCCCATCGACCTGAGTGACGTTGAGTTGGCCACAACCACCCAGTCACATGACCACCGAGCCATGCCTATCCAGCTGGTTATTAGGGTTACCAGTTGTTAAATTATTTGAATCCCACCACTGACACATACATACATATACATACATGTTCAAACTCTCTAAAACAGGGGTGTCAAATTAGGCGGCCTCACAGGCCATATGCATCACATGCTGGCCATGTCCACCCCCAGTTTAGTGAAGGGGGAAAGGTTGTGATATGTCATGTGATGACGTGTCATCGCAGGCTTTAGAATATTCTTTTTAATTGAAAGACTTCTCAAAATTGGCAATTTTAAGATATACGGACTTGAACTCTCAGAATTCCCCAGTCAGCATGAAGTCCACACTAAAATTCCAAAGTTTGAAAAATACTGAAATAAATGATAGGAATGCAAAATAATTTAAACAAGAATTGGATGCTAACCAGGAATGAATGAACAAATCAGTATATGTGTGTGTGTACGTCCGTGTGTGTGTGTGTGTGTGTGTGTGTGTGTGTGTGTGTGTGTGTGTGTACAGGTAGTCCTTGATGTACAGTTGTAATTGAACCTCAAATTACGATCATAAGTCAAGCCAGTTAAACAAAGCCTATTGACTGCGAAGGGATTTTTCCTGGAAGCCAGAAGTAAATGCCAGTTTCTGGCAACAAAGCAAAAAATGTAAATTACAGTCACATGACTATGGTTCACTACAAATGGCCATAATTGTGGACTAGTTGGCAAGCATCCAAAATGCAATCACGTAATGGTGAGGAAGGGTGGACTAGCCCTCAGAAATTCCAATCCAAGTTATAAGTACCTTTGGGGGGCGTCCAACTTCAAATGGTTGCTAAGCAGCCAGTCACTAAGCAAGGATTGCTTGCATCCTTACAAATGAATTTTATAAATATATTTTATTTATAATGCCTTCATTCCTTCCTTGCCTTTCATCACCTCGCTGAGATTATTTTGGCTGTTCTGCCCAGACAGTTCTCTTTTTTTATTTTGGAGCTGGAGTATAGGAAAGAGAAAAGGCCCCTTGAAGCAGAATCTCCCACCTCACTTTGAGGGTGCTAATGAGTTAATTCTTTTTTCTGAAACAACTACCCATGTGCGGCTGGCTCAGGGGCAATGCACACACACCCCAATTTCTTCCACAATAGAGCCGAGGTGGCGCAGTGGTTAGAGTGCAGTACTGCAGGCTACTTCAGCTGACTGCTAGCTGCAGTTCAGCAATTCAAATCTCACCAGGCTCAAGGTTGACTCAGCCTTCCATCCTTCCGAGGTGGGTAAAATGAGGACCCAGATTGTTGGGGGCAATAGGTTGACTCTATAAACCGCTTAGAGAGGGTTGTAAAAGCACTATGAAGTGGTATATAAGCCTAAGTGCTATTGTCATTCATACTTGCGCTGTGAATTGTCATTTTACTTGCTGCAACCGCCGAGGAATCCCCATTGATGATATCCAGAAAGAAATCCGCAGGGTTGTTGTACGGTTCGCACACAAAACCTATAAGGAATTTTTTTTAAAAAAAATTCATTACCACAGCAGTCTTAATGAAAACTCATAAAGCAATTACAACTTGGTGTGTTTATTAGTTATATCCAACTTGGCTACTTCATCATGCTTTATGAGGGATAGCCAAAAAAGGTACTAACAAATCTTTTTTTTTAATTAGACACTATAAACCAGAACTTTCTAACTGTCGTAATTGTTTTCAGAGATACCAGAGTTTTACTATATTTAGATCCCAAAACTGCCCATCCAACCAAAGGGGCTATACAGGTAGTCCTTGAGTTACNTTTTGACGGGTCACGAAATTTCCTGGCGGTAAGAACAATCAACCAATGAAAAGGCTTGCCTTCAGAAGTTGTGGGTGCTCCAACACTGGAGGCTTTTAAGAAGAGACAGGAATGCCATTTGTCTGAAATTGTCTCCTGTGTTAGAACGGGATTGGACTAAATGATCTCTGAGGTCCCTTCCAACTTTGTTATTCTGTTGTGGCAGCGCCAACTGTCTGCAGAAGGTGTGTAGCAATGGTGAAAGACTACTTAAAGGTGTCCAGAGCTCTGAGTGTTAATGTGGTTGGGATGCCCAGAAGCAGAGGGGGTTAAACCCTCCTCCCCCACAACATTAGATCTTGATGACATGGAATATCAATTAGGGTTTTTTTTTTCATTTTTTCAAGCCGGAAATGAGTTCAAGGAGGAGCAAATGCAACCATCAATCCAGGACTGTACATCTGGAGTGGTGCTGCCTTTTTATTATAACAAGATATAATAACTTTCTCGTTCAATGAATCCAGTGTTCAATGTTGTTCAGGGAATATTCAGGGCATCTAGTGCTCTTCATCTACCGATAAGCTCCAAATGTTAGGCATGAAAAGCCGTGTCGCATTAATCTCTCTAGAACATTTTTTAAAATAAAATATTTTATTGTTTCCAAGGTAACAGAAAAAAAGACACAAAGATGCATACATTATCAAAACAATGCATAACAAGTGCTTAAAAAATAAGTGGAAAAAATACAACAGAAAATAAAAATATAGAAAAATGTAGTCTTAACTGGTCCTTTGTACTGTTTAAAATTGCAACAGACTTAAAAAAGCAACTTAAAAGCCATCCTTGAGGTTTTGACTGCAGCCCTCCCTCCCTTAATGGCATTTCAAGTGGTTGATACAATCAGTTGCAGCAATCCTCTGGTCACATGACAACAATTTACAAGGGCCTTTTTGTTGGTTTCCAACAAAAAATGTCTATTGGATAAACAGGATTCACTTATTAACCACGTGAGTCACTAAGCAACTCTGTCCTTTGCTATATTACCCTGGTAAAAGTGACTGTAAAAAAAATCTAGTCCCATCACGTAGTACATTGACTAATCATGCACAACAACTTACAACTGAAATTCCAGATTCAGTTGGGGTTGTAAGTAGAGAATTACCTGTAATATGTTGTTACAAAAGTAAGCCTTATTAAACTTGCGACTTATGAGTGAATTGCCTATAAAACCTAGACTTTGGTTGAATAAATATAATAAAATACAGGTAGTCCTCAACTTACCACAATTGGGGCCCAAATTTCCATTATTAAGCAAGACAGTTGTTATGTGAGTTTTGCCCCATTTCATGACCTGTTTTGCTACAGTTGTTAAGCAAATCACTGCAGTTATTAAGTGAAGCATGCAGTCATTAAGGGAATCTGGCTTTCCCCATTGACTTTGCTTGTCCGAAGGTTGCAGAAGGAAGTCACATGATCCACGGGGACACTGAACTGTCCTAGATATATGCCAAATTGCCAACCGCCCACATTTCGATCATGTGACCGTGGGGAGGCTCATAAGCCACTTTTTGAGTACTATTATAACTTTGAATGGTCAGTAAATGAATGTAAGTTGAGGATTACCTATATTGAATTCATTTATACGAAGTACAATAAGTTAAAAAAGCATGATAATTACACACACACATGCATAATGATTGCATTGTTGTTGTTGTTAGTTGTGAAGTTGTGTACGAGCCATCGCAACCCCATGGACAACATTCCTCCAGGCCTTCCTGTCCTCTACCATCCTCTGGAGTCCATTTAAGCTCAGGCCTACTGCTTCAGTGACCCTGTCACTGAATTATTTAATGATTGCATTAGAGAGTTATATATAGGATTGTAACTGTTTGCTATTGTAACAACATATTATGCATTAGTATCTTTAAATCTTATTACTCTTTCTAATGCCTTTTAACAAATTTTACAATGTTAAACAATGTCAGTCCAATGTCTACATAACCTTTTATCAGTTCATTCTTCTAGCCAAACGGAGGTGCTGGCCAACTTTTTCTAAACCTTTTCTTCTTGTCCAATAGACATTAGAAGTCATATTATAATAACTTGTTTAATAATTTAAGATGAGTTAATTATTGATTATTAATATAAAATATTCCATCTTTTCTTTGCAGAGTTTTTACAAACAACCAATATGAATCATAATAATATACTTTGTCTAAAGAACTATAGATTTGGAATGGTGAAGTACATTTTTCAAAAATAATAATTCTTCAAGAGTTGTAGACCTGGCAACAAGTCTGGATCAGACTATGAAATCCAAAGGAGCTCTAATCAAATCTATTGCCTTTCTTTAATTTTAGACAATCCAAATGCTTTTTGCAATAACAACCACAGATGGTTTAAAAGTTTTGTTGGCAATAAATTGAACTCAAGTGCAGTGTTATAAATCCATGAACTCTTATATGTACATAGATACATGAGTTTGTAAAATAGAATTAACCCAAAAGTATAAAATTCATGAATGAAGAACCAACATCATACTTCTTTATATGCCTTGCAGCCTTCAGTGTTGGAAATACAACTGAATTTTGGCCAGAAGAAAGAACCAAGGCACTGCTAAAGAATTAAAAAGTTAACATAGCCATCTGATTTTCATTTCCTCAGTTTTAAATTCCACAAAGAAAATAGAAGGGAAAACATATGCTTAGTGATAAAACTGAAGATTGAGGAAGTTAAAATTTCCTTTATAATAGTAAATTAATCAATGGCACAATTAGATTTGTCCTTTCCAAATGCTAAAAATCCATTAAAGGTGCAGTAGTAACAAATGAAACTGTTATGTTATATATATATAACTTATGTATATAACGTATNTTTGTATCCCCCTTCCCCGGTTCGAGTTGTGAGCCGCCCTGAGTCCCCCTTCGGGGGAAAAGGGCAGCATATAAATACAATAAACTGAAACTGAAACGGAGCTTCCATCATACTGTTGTAACTCCCATTTTGGAATTTCCTGGTGTTCCACCATCCAAATCCCAACCAAACCTGATCCTGCTTAGCTTCCCAGTCCATACCAATTTAACCCAATAAACCCCCTCCTCAGTTAAAACTTACCTGACATTGAACAAAATGTTCTTCTTAATTTCTTTTCGAAAGCCAAGGTAACCTGTCTTGAATTTCACATAATAGGAAACATTGTAAAAGGTCATGCTACTTCCTATTATACTCGTCTTGCTTGAGAAAGTAACTTTTCTCTTCGATATGTCAAGTATATTTTTGTCAGCGTCTTGAAAAAAACAAACAAAAGGAATGGTTGGAAACACCATGGCACATCTGGAGAGAACAAGTTGGCAGAAGTAATATTTGGCTATCAGATATATAACTAGGGAATAATATATGTCTCATGCTAAAATAAGGTTGAATGAACCATGGCTTACCATCATATTCTAAAAAGGGTTAGATTTTTGCATCTGGGTAACATATTGTCTTTGAGAAATGGCCTCCAACGAAAGCTTTAATGCAATATTTTACATTTTCTTTTTAAAAGAAAATATAGTAAAAGTGCTTGTGGGAGGCTGTATGTAGCTAACAGCCCATACATCAGTGGTGGGATTCAAATTTTTTTACAACTGGTTCTGTGGGTGTGGCTTCCTGAGCAGGGTGTGGCTTGGTGGGTATGGCAGGGGAAGGATACTGTAAAATCTCCATTCCCTCCCCACTCCAGAGGAAGGTTACTGCAAAATCCCCATTTCCTCCCGATCAGCTGTGACTCGGGAGGCAGAGAATACATGGGGTCGGGGGCCAGTCAGAGGTGGTATTTACAGGTTCTCCGAACTACTCAAAATTTCCACTACCTGTTCTCCAGAACTGGTCAGAATCTGCTGAATACCCCCTCTGCCATCCCTACCATAAAACAAATAAACAAACCATAATGGTTGGAAATACCCAGTGCATTAAACCCAAATCAAACATCTATGGGTCAGTTCAGTTCTTGCATTCCTATCGCAATAACATCTTTATGTTTGCAAGTACTTGGATATTTCTTTTATAATTCCATAGCACCTCAGCTTATGAAAGTGTGATGTGGGACAGATAGGAAGTTAGATGATCAAAAACCAGGCAGAAGTGTTTTCAATTATTCAGGAAGTCTTTGCACACTTATTATTTAAATTTCTGTACAGGTAGCCCTTGAGTTACAACAGTTCATTTACCTGATCGTTCAAAGTTATAATTGCACTGAAAAAAGTGTTTTATGACCATTTTTTACACTTATGACTGTTGTGGGATCCCCATGGACACATGATCAAAATTCAGACTTTTGGCAACTGGCTCATATTTATGACAGTTGTAGTGTCCCGGGGTCATGTGATCCCCCTTTGCAGCCTTCTGACAAACGAAGTAAATGAAGAAGCTAGATTCGCTTAACGACCACATGATTCACGTAACAACTGCAGTGATTCTCTTAACAACTATGGCGAGAAAGCTCATAAAATGGGGCAAAGCCTACTTAACATGTGTCTCACTTAATAACATAAATTTTGGGCTAAATTGTGGTCGTAACTTGAGTAACTGTATACACTTTTGGAACCCTGGGACTTGTGATCATTAGAAAGCAGCAAGCAAAAAGCAATAAAATGTTCACCCTGTTGGTAAAGAATGGCTCTTCCTAAAATATGACATCCTTTGCCGTTCTGTCCCTACCTGATAAGTCTAGTAATTAAGTATGCAGGACTTTCTAGCTAATTAATATCTGCAACAGAAAAGGGGATGAAACCCTGACTCAACTCCTGGTCTGGCAAAGTTTCTTGACAAAGCTATCATGTAGCCTTCCAGGAATTTTAGGTCAAGGATGTGAAGCTCAAGAATGAGAGGCCCAAAGAGAGAACATCTAAGAACAGAAGTGAGATAAAATGAAGCTGGGTGTTGGTTTTCCAACAAAATGGAGTTGCTCTGTCAAAAACTAGTTATACTAGTCGTACAGTGTGTTATGAGTTAGTATCAATGAAGAGATGCTATAGGAGAGCTTGGCATGCCCAATGAATTAGATTTATCCTACAAAGTTTTCTAAAAGATTTAGGTTTCTCTAGTGTTGCATTGATGGCACCTGTGCAACCCACACCCCCATCTTTTTTGGAATTACTAAAGTGCATGTGGCGCACATGGAAATGGGTGGGGCTCCAACTGTACACTTTTCAGCTGCACAAACCACCTCTGAGAAGAGCTTGTCTGGCCTCCAAGGCCTCCGAAAACAAGATGCAAAGGTGTCTCTATTTCTGCAATGAGGCTGTAAGGTTTTATTGTTACTTATAGGTTAGTACGGGTAGTCCTCAACTTACAACAGTTCACTTAGTGACCATTGGAAGTTACAACAGCAGTGAAAAAAGTGACTCAGGACTGTTTTTCACACTTCTGACCATTGCAGTATCCCTATGGTCATGTGATCAAAATTCAGAGTCACTTAACAACTGGGTTACTGCAATGATTCACTTAACAATTGTGGCAAGCAAGGTTGTAAAATGGGACAAAATTCACTTAAGAAATGTATCATTCGGCAACATAAATTTTGGGCTCAATTGTGGTCACAAGTAGAGGATGTACAAAGGAAGTCAGGCATTGGGGAGTCCATAAAGCAAAGGTTAATATTGCTAATTCATATTATAATTCATATGTTATATATTAAAGACAGATAGATGGTTGGATGGATGGATGGATGAGTAGGTAGGTAGGTAGGTAAAGTAGGTAGGTAGGTAGGTAGGTAGGTAGGTAGGTAGGTAGATGATTGATTGATTGATTGAGAGAGAGAGAGAGAGAGATAGACAGACAGACAGACAAATAAATAATTAATATGAATTAATAATAAAAATTAATTCTTGAGTGCATGCCACTCAATCCATGCACAGATTTCAGCCAGAGTAAAAGAAATACCCCACTCCAGATGGGTCAGTGGTCTATAAAGACCATCTGCTGAAACTGGTGAGTGAGCTTACCCATATTCTCAGTTCAGAAACTAACTGAGTTCACCCAACACGCTGTGTAATTACGAAGCCTAAAAGTACTAACGAAGTTTTGCATCTGGTACAAAGGTGGTGGTTGGGTCTTTATAAAGCCCGTCGTGCCAATGTGCCCTTACAGATCAAAGAACTGCCTCAAAGAGCCGAAGTAGCACAGTGGTTAGGGTGCAGTACTGCAGGCCACTTCAGCTGACTGTTATCTGCAGTTCAGCAGTTCAAATCTCACCGGCTCAAGGNTATATATATATATATATATATATATATATATATATATATACAAATATAAATCTAGGGATAATCTAGCACTGACCTTTCTCCAGACAGTGAGGTTTAATAACTCCCATCTATTGCAACATATCTGTATTAAATCTGAGCCAAAAGGCTGTACCAGATGCCATTTGCCAGGCCCTAAAAGTTTTTTTTAATTCTATATGAACTGTTTAACGCTGAGTTGCTCTGAGCCTTCTGAGGTCCTTTATCAGATAATAAGAGGTTGCTGTTTGTTAAACTGTGCTTTGTAGCATTAACCACAAGGAGGCAGAGGAGTTAAGGACTTATTTTGAGTTTCATCTGCGGGGATTTCTGACCCCAACTGAAACACAAATTTTCATTCAATAAAGCAAGCACACAACAAATTTATGATCACTAGACTCCAAAAATGTCTTGTTTAATTTCAATAAATCTTACTGTCCAAAATTAGTATGTCCTAAAAACGGGCATATTCTTGTTATGAAATGGATTAATAAAGAGGCATATATATTTTGTTAGTATTTAGATAAGATATTAGATATGATTTAGATTTTTGAGCATAATTTGTTTCCTTTGCAATACATGATTTATGTCTGGAGCAGTGTATGGGAGGGGGGGGTTGCATTTAATCATTCACTCATTCAGTCTTAAAAGGGATTTGCAGGTTTTATCAGACTCTCAAAAGGGCCATGGCGCAAACAGGCTAGGAATCCCTGCTCTAAGAGATTTTTAAACTCAGATTATTTCCTTCTGCTTTTCATTCCCAGACACAAACATATGAACCATTTTTTATTTTATGTTTTCTTGCCACTTTGTTTCATCCAGTATATAACCTATCCCAATGTCTATCACAATTCTAACCAGTTTAAAAGTAGAATGATTAGCGTTAAAACAGCAATTTAAAAAATAAAAAATACAATAGTGACATTTGCCAAATATCCATTCTGGGGAGAAGATTGTTATGAAAACAATCAGAACATCAAGTAGCTATATTAAGCCATTCCACCCATCCTATCTATTTACCTACCTACCTACCTACCTACTTACCTACCTACACCCACACACACCCACACACACCATCCAAAGTCTGCTGAAAAAGCCAGATCTTCAAGGCTTCACAGAAGTAAGCAAAGCTCCATTTTCTTAGATTTTCCTCCAGATCGCACATAGATAACCAGGTGCCAGGCTTTGCTTATCTCTGCAATGTATTTCCTTAAATACTTTTTTCTCACTAACCATTGCTCAAGATATATTTCTTACTGTCCAAAATATTCACAGGCGCATCCATAATTTGTACCTGTAACAACTCCCAATGATGGAAATGCATTGCCTTTTTGTTCAGCTCCACTTTCTCTGCTGTTAGGAAAGATCAAATTCTTCCTTTTCAGCCAGACATTTTTCACTTGGAGTTTGTATTCCACTGATTTTAACTGGTGTTTTTTTTAAAAAAAATTAAAATGATACCTTTTCCATTTTATACTGGAATGTTAATTCCTCAAATAGAAAAGCAGAGGGCTAATGAAATAAGATAAGAATGGGGCGCACCCCGTTAAAAACTCACCAAGACTTTTGAAATAGGGAAGCGCATTGTCAGCTGGCCCGTGATACAATAGCCTTCCAGCAGCAAGTAATGTCAGGCTGTCAAACAACTTGAAAATAGAGTACCGGGGCTGATGGATTGAAAAAATGATTGTCTTTCCTTGCAGTGACATCCTGAGTGCAACACAGGGAAGACCATTAACTCATGTAAGAGCACTTTGCTTTTAAGTGCTCTGCATCAAAGTATAATACATACAGCTTGAAATGAGAAAATGGATTAGGGTCTTGAATGAAGCTACCACAGTCAAAAATTGCTGAGGGTCTTATATAGCCTTACCCCTGCTCAGCTAAAACCACCTGTTTTAGCCCAGTTCTGCTTTAACCATAGCCAATCAATCAATCAGAGCAGAGCTGGAAGGGACCTTGGAGGTCTTCTAGTCCAACCCCCTATGCAAGCAGGAGACCCTATACCATTTCAGACAAGTGGCTGTCCAGTCTTTTCTTAAAAATCTCCAGTGATGGAGTGTCCATGATTTCTGAAGGCAAGCTAGTTAATTGTTCTCACTGTTAGAAAGTTTCTCCTTAATTCCGAGTTGCTTCTCTCCTTGGTTAGTTTCCATCCATTGTTTCTTGTCCTGCATAAAGGTGCTTTGATAAATAAGTTGACCACCCCCTTCTCTTTATGGCAACCTCTCAAATACTGGAATACTGCTATCATGTCCCCACCTAGTCCTTCTTTTTTTCTAGACTCGCCTGCATTATTGTATTATGCATTTTGTGTATTAGTGTACTATGACACTACACACATTTATTTTAGCAAATGTACAAAAGACATATTGAACATTTATTTTTATTTTTTTGGAAGAAAAAATCTAAATGAAACATGGGCCTTCATAAACTGCTAAATTTACAGCATGTACTGATCATAGCAAATTGAGTTTTCAAAATATTATATATATATATAATACTTTACAGCACTCTCTGAGTGATTTGCAAATGTCAGCATACTGTCCCAAATAATCTGAATACTCATTTTATTGACCTTGGATGCGTGGATGGCCGAATCAACCTTGACCCCCTTAAGGATCGAACTCTAGAGCTTGTCTACTATACTACATTCCAACCAGTGTAATGAAATGAATTAATGACACACAACGAAGAAGATTCTCCTGGCCATCAGGAATGACACAAGTACAGGTCAGTGGTGGGATCCTGCCGGTTTAACAACCGGTTCAGTGATTGCGTGTTGCGTGTGCGTGCACAGTTTTACAAAATCTTACTTCCACGTTACTTTTGGGGGAGTGACACAGCTGAGGCGCGGCAATCCGCTCTGCTGCGCTAATCAGCTGAGAGGATATGGGTAAGTAAAGTGCAAGGACAGATGGGTGGGCCAACCTGATTGTCGGAGTGAACTGGTTCACTCTCAGCTGATCGTCAAAGTTGCTGGTTCATCTGAACCGGTCTGAACTGACTGAATCCCACCCCTGGTGCAGGCGGTTTTCAACCTATAAGCACAGTTGAGCCTGACATTTCCATTGTTTAAATGAGTTGCACACAATTTTACAAACACTTTTTTTGCCACAATGATTAAGCAAACATCTGCAGTGGTCGTAAGAGCGAGGACTGGCTGTAAGCCACTTTTTTACATTGTAACTTCAAAAGGTCGCTACACGAATGGCCGTAAGTCGAGCCCTACCTGTGGCACAGATTACCTTTTTAAGAGCAGCAGGACAGCATTGGCCGTGCTAGAATCCAGTCCTGTTGTTGGTTCATCTAAGAACAACACTTTGGGGTTAGTAATGAGTTCTAATCCAATGCTGGTCCTTTTCCTTTCCCCCCCTGAAACTCCACGAGCAAAATAGGTGCCAACCTGGAGCAGCAAAGGAAATGACAAAATAAACCTCATGGAAATGTAACATTTCATGAACAGTATGGGGGTGGAAAACATTTCAGCATAAAATACTTTAATCATGTCTGTTCCTGGCAACAACTGACTTTATCAAATGGGACATCACTGAAAGAATATGGGAACCCGGAATGCCAGGTATTTTAGGGCCCTCAGTCCACATTCAGCATTTTGACCATCGTCCCCATCTGGCTCGCATGGGATCAATCAGTAATTAGAAATCAAATGTAAATTAAGCGCATGCCATGTGTGCAATACGACTGCATTGCTTTTATTTTGAAGGTGACTGCTTTTTTTTCTTTTCCAATGTACATATATGTGTGGATGGGTGTGTGTGCCTATGCATCTTCACAACCCTATTGGTTTGGCCCTTCACAACAGCCCCATTTCTCACATGGGAAGATTGATTACCCACCCCTGCATTAATTGAATAGAATAAGGGATCTCAGATGGTTATCTTAAGCAACCTGTCCTCTTGCACTGGTGAAAGGATGCACATGCGTATGGAGTTCATGTGATCCTTTGTTGCCAGAAAAATCCATAAGACCTCACCTAAAGATTGCAATAGCACTTAGATTTATATACCACTCCACAGGGCTTTACAGACCCCCTCCAAGTAGTTTACAGAGTCAGCAAATTGCCCCCAACAATCTGAGTCCTCCTTTTACCGACCTCAGAAGGATGGAAGGCTGAATCAACCTTGAGCTNTGTAAAGCACTGTGAAGCGGTATATATGTCTAAGTGCTATTGCTAGTACTATCCAGAATCATGAAAGGACTAGGTGGAATTCTTAGTAAATACCACAGATTAAAGCTACAAATACAAAGATAGTGACCATTATCTTGAGTTTTTGATTGCCCTATAGACACACCCACAGGGACGCAGTAGTTCAATTGCTAAGATGCTGAGCTTGTCGATCAGAAGGTTGGCAGTTCGACGGTTCGAATCCCTAGCACCGGGTAACAGAGTAAGCTCCCATTACTTGTCCCAGCTTCTGCCAACTTAGCAGTTCAAAAGCATGTAAAAAATGCAAGTAGAAAAATAGGAACCACCTTTGGTGGGAAGGTAACAGCGTTCCATGCGCCTTTGGTGTTTAATCATACCGGCCACATGCCCATAGAGATGTCTTCAGACAGCGCTGGCTCTTCAGGTTAGAAACAGAGATGAGCACTGCCCCCAAGAGTCAGGAAGAACTAGCACATATGTGCAAGGGGAACCTTTACCTTATAGACACAGACACACAAACACCATAATGAGATTCAAACTTGCACACCCCTTGAGGCCTAGAATGGTTTTCCCCACTCCAGGGAGACCATACTGCAAGTGAAGAGCTAGTAGATTAAAAGATTTATCACCAAATAAAGAATTCTTTTAGATGTTCTTCACCTATTATTATTGCTATTTTGTCTAAGAATGCTTACTTACATAAATATTTTCTTCTCTACCACAAAGAGTTCAATTGCTGAGATGCTGCTGAAACACTGATTAGTAGTCATAAAGAACATGGCACCAATTCTAGGAAAAACACAGGTTGTCATTGTGAGAAACTGGTCTTTTCAAGCAGCTTTTAGTTAAAAAAATAATAACTGAGCCCAGTGCTCCTGAGTTTTATTTTCTTAGCAAAAAATATTCTGTCCCTTGTGTTCTAGAAGGTGAATAGTAAATCAAAGAGAATGGCTTAGAAAAGGAAAGGAAAAGGAAAAACTGGCTGAGAAAAATATAAATGATAAACCACGAGTGATCTGGCTGACTTTCCCCCCTAAAAAGTTGTCAGAAAAGGAACAACAATCTTGCTTTAATCTTGATCAAAAAACACATGTTTTTTCAAAATTAAAACAAGGAAAGTTATTACTTCTGGCAACCTTTTTATGTCAATTTTATGTGAGTGGTTTTTGACTTTAGAAGCAACAGATCTTGCTATTAAACAGGGCAGAAGTAAGGATGTCACCCACTTTTAGGAAAAGCATACCCTATTTCAATATTACCAGCCCTTTTCAGAGCAGAAATAAAGCACTATCTCCAAAATATAATTTGTATAACGATGCCATTATGCAAAAACACGTACATAGTGATAAATATCAGACAAAATAGTGGAAGTCTCTTGTAATGTCCTACTTTCCAATTCCCCATACATTTTTGTGTAAATGTCTCAATTTGTTAAAATAAGGCTTCATTTTATTTCAAGTTATCCTTGTTGGAATTCACACTCAAAACCAATATCATTCATTTGATCACCATATTATCCCCAAAGGACTCACCTATTTTGCAAACCTTTGCCATCGTTCGTTAGACCAAAGAATATGGCACCCATGACTAATCCCAGGAAAATCGTAACCAATAACTGAAATATAAATATATCATATTATGTTCAGTTGTTCTTTTATACATCGTCATCGAGCACAAATTGACATCATCAAAACCAAAGACAATTTTGGCTTCCTTTTCTCCTCCAAATGCCCTTCATTCATTCTTTTAAAAATGAAAGCCAACATGCTATAAAAAAACAAAATTTCCAGCCATCACTACTAACCCGTGTTCAATTTAAGATAAGTGGAGAAGAGAGGAGAGGGAAGGAGATAACTTTTATTGTTGACTCAGCCTTCCATCATTTGAAGTCAGTAAAATGTGGGCAAGAGGCTGACTCTGTAAACTGCTTAGAGGGGGCTGTAAAACACTGTGGAGCTGTATATAAGTCTAAGTGGTATTGCAATTGCTATTCTCTCTTTTTTTTTTTCCATCGGCATGCTGGCATACATTAAGAATGAAATTCTGTTGTCTGCTCTCATCATTTTCCATTTTGAATACATAGCGGAAAGAGGAAACTTGAAAGTTCAAAAGGTTGATGCTATATTTAAAATAAGGTTTGAGAATACATTGAGACCCATAAAAGTTTGAAAACACATCCACTTAAATGGAGGCTTGAATAACAATCAGCATTTAATCTTTGATCAAAGTTTAAAGACATGATGGTCAGTTGTTCCCAACATACTCCAAGGATATGCAGGGACGAACTACTCTTCAGAGAAAGTGTAGCTCCTTTGAATACAGTTAGAGACATCATGGAATAACATCCTGGCTTTACAACACTCCTTACTAGCCTAATCAGCATTATCTCTCTTCTCTGTTCCCAGGATTGGCCATTTGGCCCCCTGTTGGAAGGACACAGATCAAAGGTGAGATACTTTCTTAGGCAGGATGGGGACATATCAAAGGTGTCAATTTTACAGCTCTTTACAGCTCCATTCCGGGATAAGTTCTATGCCCATAGATTGCAGATTGATAAGAGTTCAAAATGGCAAGGATCACAAGTNGCTTCATAGGCCTTTCAGGCCTCTCTAAGCGGTTTACAGAGAGTCAGCATATTGCCCCCAACAATCTGGGTCCTCATTTTACCCACCTCGGAAGGATCTATTTCAAGCTATTTAGCTCTCATCAGCTAGCCATACCCTTACTGGGATTTGAATATATATATATATTCATTTTTTACATTTATCTTTACTATCCATTTTAATCATAACTTTATATCAATGTTGATGTGTATGTCAGGGCTGTCAATAATGTCAGAAAGTGATTTATTATATGTATCGCAAGAGCCAATTTGGTGTAGTGGTTAAGACATCAGGTTGGAAATCTGAGGGACCATGAGTTCTAGTCTTAATGCTGGACACAAAGCCAGTTGGATGATCTTGGGCCAGTAACTTTCTCTCGACCCTGGGAAGAAGACAATAGCACATCACTTCTGAAAAAATCTTGCCAAGAAAACTGTTGACTTCTCTAGGCAATCTCTGAGAATTGGACAAAATTGAAAAAAAAAAAGGGGGGGGGAATGCATCGTATACATGTTAAAACAGGGGAGAGCTTCATTCACTCATTTGTACCTGTTATATTGACATTGGTGTTGGACACTCTTAATATATTTTGATATAAAGCAGGTATTCCTTAACTTTTTGTTAAGTTAAAGGTTCAAATGCAGTGCTTTTACATTCATATGAGTTCCCAACTATCAATGTTTTAAGTTTAAGGTATGGTAATTCAATCACTGGCTTCTTAAAAGGTCATGAGGGAAAAAAATACTCCACAAAATATGCTTAAATGCAATAGCACACTGGAATAAAACTTTTATGCTGTATGCATAAATAGCATCATCATTTGAATTGGAAACCACCTGACTATTATCTCAACATACTATGCATATTTTTATAACAATGTTTTCCCATATATTCACATGTTTTAAGTGTATAGAGGGGTAATTCTGATTCTACGCATTACAAAGTACAATCCATAATAGTGGTTGTAAGTAGAAATATTTTATAGTCTATAAAATAAACAAAATTGTCATGTTTCCATGCTTATATGGCAACTAATAAAATGTATATGGTGTTGATAGCAAAAATAGCGCTAGCATGTTTGTAATTCTTGTTCCTTTTTATGCCTTGTTTTATTTTATATGTCCTATTTTGTGGGTTGTATCCTCTAGGTTTTATTTAGTAAGACTTACTTGATCTGGCTCACTGGTTTGTAATAAAGAATTGGATTGGATTGGATTGGTTTGAATTATTTAGGTAACCTTTTGTGCAATTGTAGAGCAGTATGGCATTAGCACTGAAGAAAATATATGGCAGTCATTAGGAAAACAGGAAGGTATAAAAAAGTTACTCAAGATTGCCTTGCCTAGAGTCTCTCTGATGTACAAGAGAACAAAGAATTGCTGTCAAGCTTTCAGGTTTATTATAGTCTAAATCAGGCTACATCTTATCTCTACATTGCACATACAGTGGTACCTTGGTACTCAACTGTTTTGAAACTCATACCGAATTTGGTACTCAATGCATTTTGGCTTGAAAATTTTGTCCTGGTACTCATCAGTTGTTTAGTACTCAACACAAGCTAGAAATTGTTGGTGTCTTATGAGGAAAAAAAATTGGTTGGTACTAGTTTTGTTACTCTTCACATCTCCTGAAACCAATTAACAATGAGTACCAAGGTACCAGTATATTTGATTATTTGAAAAACAATCTGAAAACTATTTTTAAATGGTAGCATTCCCTGCTAGAAAATTTATTTATCTTTGTGTCAAGGATTAATTTTATTTGTGATATGATTGATTTTATGCCTATTTATTGATGGGTCCATTCATTTAAATATAATTTTATTATCATTTGATGTTGTGAATCAGCATGGGCTATGTCAGGAGTATGCAGAAACAATTTGAAATATAAATAAAACAAATGGTATTAAAGGAAGCCTCCATACTTGCAAGCACGAAATAACTGACATTTGATTATTATTTTTTAGACTACTTGACAAACAACAAAAATAACATCTGAGGGTATTGTAAAGGCAAAGATCTTGGCTGAAGACTGAGGCTTTTTCCCCCTTGTTTGTGAGATGGTTAAACAAGAAGAAAAGTTCGAAAGAATCAAGTTAGGAGAACAATAGTCTTTTTTCTCATTCTTACATTATTCGAGATTGGACTAACTGGATTGGAGACAAGACAATTTCATTGACTTAGGAGAACTTTTTCATGAAATGTAGCTTCAAGTAACAAATAGTAAGGAAAATGATGGTCATGCAACCTAATGCCACATGGTTCTGCCATAACCCCCAAGTAGTTGCATCGATCCCTTGGCTTTTTAGGTATTGTTCTCCAGTGCACCTAGAAAGAAATACAGGCAGAGATTTTTAATCACCAGAAGCTCCACCACAGATCAGAGGTGATATTCAGCAGGTTGTGACCAATTCTGGAGAACCGGTAGTGAAAACTTTGAGTAGTTTGTAGAACTGGTAAATGCCACCTCTGACCAGCCCAATCCTCATCTATTCTCTGCCTCCTGAGTCCCAGCTGATCGGGAGGAAATGGCGCTTTTGCAGTAACCTTTCCCTGGAGTGGGGTGGGAATGGAGATTTTATAGTCTCCTTCCCCTGCCAAGCCACGCCATGCCCACCAAGCCACACCCACAGAACCGATAGTAAAATGTTTTGAATCCCACCACTGCCACAGATGTAACAAGCTTGTGTGGTACCAATAGGGGAGAATATTTATAGTTCAGGGTTGGAATATTTGTGGTTCAGGGGTCCTTGGGGCTCTCTGAGTTTGGTTGTTTTCTTGCAGATGTTTCATAACCCAAACTAGGCAATATCATCAGTACATCTGGATAATGTTACGTAGTCTGGGTAATGAAACATCTGCGAGAAAACAACCAAGCCCTTCTTCTGTGTCCCACTAGGTGTATCTCCCTCGGGGATGAGGCCCTCAGCATTCCCTGCCTCCCTGCTCTGATGGGTTATGTAGATGTGACCAGCAAGAGACAGTCCCTCAGAGAACCTGGTCCCAAGCCATGGAGGGCTTTAAAGGTGACAACCAGAACCTTGAATTGCACCCGGAAGCAAATTGGCAGCCAATACACACCGGGGTCTACACAATGTGCTAAATGTGCACACCGGGGTCTACACAAAACCATGCGGGCCACTGCATTTTGCACCAATGGGAGCTTTCGGATGCTCTTCAAGGGCAGCCCCATATAGAGCATGTTACAATATGACTGGAAGTGATTAGGGCATGGATGAGGATTGGTTTGAGGGGGTCTTAAAACCATCACATAGTAATATTGTAAAATCAGGTTAGTTGTGTGATGACCCACTTAATGACTGACATGATTTACAACCATAATTCCAAGCTCAATTATGGTTGTAAGTTGTTGGTATTATCAGTGCAAAGTCTTTACATAGGAAAACATAGTCTGGGGCACCTGATCAGACACAGGTGCTTTCTCCTCCTGATTCCCACTTTAAAATTATTCAAGACTTCATTAACAATAATATTGAAAGGCTAAGATGTCCTTTCTTTCACTTATAGTACCTCGTACCAGGATTGCCTCAAGTCTTTAGTACTAGGTAGAGAAAAACAGAGATCATACTTACGGCTGAATTGTGCTAAAGTCTGTGCAATTGGAGTCTTCATTTGTAGGGAAATTGCAGAAGTCAAGACCCACAAATTCATTAATCTGCAGTGCCTTTGAAAATGAGGAAACAATTGTGTTTTTGAAAGCATATCCAAAACAATGCATTCAGAAGTATTACATATTACGTGCACTAGACTTACAATATACCCATTTCTGTTAGAATTGCCTGTTTAGTTATATGTTTAGCTGCACTGGAGCCATAACCCATAAAGATAAATCAATATTCTCTCCTTGTATTATTAAACTCATAAAATCACAGATTCTGAGGTCTTGAAAGGATTTGATTTGTTTGCTATTCAGCAACACAATTGTGGGCTAGAGAATGTTTGTGGATGGATGGATGGATGGATGGATGGATGGATGGATTCGGTGGTGCAGTGGTTAGAGTGCAGTATTGAAGGCTACTTCTGCTGACTACCAGCTGCCTGCAATTTGGCAGTTCGAATCTCACCAGGCTCAAGGTTGACTCAGCCTTCCATCCTTCCGAGGTCAGTAAAATTAGGACCCAGATTGTGTTGCTGAATAGCAAACAAATCAAATCCTTTCAAGACCTCAGAATCTGCGAT